GATGTATGTATGTATGTATGGATGGATGGATGGATGGATGGATGGATGGATGGATGGATGGATGGATGGATGGATGGATGGATGGATGGATGGATGGATGGATGGATGGATGGATGGATGGATGGATGGATGGATGGATGGATGGATGGATGGATGGATGGATGGATGGATGGATGGATGGATGGATGGATGGATGGATGGATGGATGGATGGATGGATGGATGGATGGATGGATGGATGGATGGATGGATGGATGGATGGATGGATGGATGGATGGATGGATGGATGGATGGATGGATGGATGGATGGATGGATGGATGGATGGATGGATGGATGGATGGATGGATGGATGGATGGATGGATGGATGGATGGATGGATGGATGGATGGATGGATGGATGGATGGATGGATGGATGGATGGATGGATGGATGGATGGATGGATGGATGGATGGATGGATGGATGGATGGATGTTTGAGTGCGTATATATGTATGTGTGTGTCCGTTTTTGTGTTTGTGTGTGTGTGTATGTGTGTTTATGACACTAACTATGCAGATTTGCATTTACGTTAGAAAGACAAGTTAAAACAAAAGAAAAGTGTTTACAAATATATACACACTGTTAAATATGTATACCAACATATATACATATATATATATATATATTTAATATGATAATATATATATATATATTTATATTATCAAAAATTATGTATATATATATAATGACAGTACAGTTGATGCTGATTATGGTAATGGAACTACAGCTGATGATGATGATGATGACGATGATGATGAGGATGAATGATGATGATCATGATGATCATGATGATCATGATGATGACGACGACTTTACGACTTCGGCGCTAACGATTTTGTCGCTACTGAATAATAATAATAATTATTATTATTATTATTGTTATAATTATAATAATAATTATAATTATAATAATAATAATAATAATAATAATGGTGAAGATGATGAGGATAATGATGACGATGATGACGGTGATGATGATGACGACGACGAGGAGTGACTTCTAACTAACTGGCTGGCGAGTTTTATCTTGACACATTACCTTGTATATTTTTACCTCTTCTAAATGTTAGCCATGGAAAAAATTAATTTAAAAAAAAGTATTATTAATATTGTTGTTGTTGCTGTTGTTGTTGTTGCTGTTGTTGTTGTTGGTTGTTGTTGTTGTTGTTGCTGCTGCTACTAATATTTTTACACGTACAAATATTTAGAGACAATTGAAGGAAAATTTTCTGATAAATATAAAATGAAAACATTGTCCATTTTCATGTTAACCGCTTATACTACAAAGTTACTAACTATTACTACAAACCATAAACATCTATATACTATATATATATATATATATATATATATATATTGTACAGATGTCCATGCTAGAAAAAATACTATTTAATTATTTCATTCATTCATTTGTTTCTTCGTTTATTGCTCATTCGTTCTTTCATTCATTCGTTCGTTTGTTGGTTCTTTCGTTTTTTCATTCATCTGTTAACTCATTTATCCATCCGCCCGTCCATTCATTTATTTATTCATCCATCCATTCATCCATCCATCCGTCCATCCATCCATCCATCCATCCATCCATCCATCCATCCTTTACTATCTGGCGTGAACATCTTGAGGAATATTATGAACCGATCTGAACGACAAACCAGTAGTACTAGCACTACCACTACTGCTACTACTATTATTAATATTAGTATTATTACTACCAATATGTGGTGACGGCTCTTCTATACCAAAACTTGGTGGCGTTTGAGGGGGGTAAGGATAGGGCGAGCCATAAAACGCTCCCATTGTGTTAGGGTACGGTGATAGGGGTGTGGCGTAACCGTGGTGGTGACCCAGATGTGGTGACATAACGTGACCGTTGTTCAGAAGCATCGGGTGCAACATGGGGCCCTGGTGGTATTGATGATGATGGGGGTTGTAGATGGATCTGAGGGCGTGGTGTGGATGGTGACTTGTTGGGTAGGGGGACATGGTCGAAGAGGGACTGCCGGTACGCGGGGAGAGAGCGTACATTTCTGGTGGCGGTGGGCCCATCGGTGGGAGATCTGACAGACCTGTGGTGTTTAATTGTGTGGTAGAGTTGAAGATAAACATTTATTAAAATATAACTTGGGTAGATATAGATGGTTTATAAAAAAATTTAACGATCATTTTCATTCAACAAGTAAAGAGAGAGAAAACGAAACGAAACGAATGAATGACTGAACAAATGAACGAACGAATGAGGGAAGTATGAATGAAAAAAAAAATGAATGAAAGAGTTAATGAATGAATGGAAGAAGTTCTTTCTGCAAATATTGAAACAAAACCACTAATTCTTCGTCGGCAGAGATCCTATCTACGCTCGGTCTCATTGACATTATGCAGTGATTAATTGATTGAACGACCGAACGAATGAATGAAGGAATGAAAGAATGAAAGAGAGAATAAAAACAGATAGACGAACAAAAGAAGGAATGAATGATCAATTGAATGAACGAGTGAACGATCGAACGAACGAATGCAAAATAATAGAATAATTAATGAGTGAAACAATTCAACTAACAAATTAATTATATCATTAATTGAAAGGCAAAAAATGAACAACTTAATGAATGGAAGAATGAACAAATGAAAAAATAAATGAGGGAGTGAATGAACAACTGAATGAAAAAGTGGATGAATTAATGAATGAAAGCACGGATAGATAGATAGATGATTGATCTTATCAGAAATCACCAACCAAACAAACAAATATCTGAAAAGCTATTAGGTCACAGACTAAAAATATGTATAAATTGACAGATAACTTATAGAATACAGATTTCTCGGATATTTAACTGAATCACCAGTCACTTTAACATAAAAATTAACTCTTTCATAAAAAGAAAATCATCTAAATCTCAAAAGCAGACGTTGAATGTTAGGCATTTCAGCAATTAATCAACATGAAAACTTAATCTAAGTGTTGTTTTTGTCAGAGCTGTGGGGAGCGTTAAATTTGTCAACATTACCATTATATATCTAGGTATGTCTATCAGTCTGTGTGCCTGTATGTGTCTGTATATGCGTGCGTGTGCGTGTTTGTGTGTGTGTGTGTGTGTGTGTGAACATGCGTTAATGTCTTTTTGTGTGCGCTCCATAGCGTACAACTTGCCCTGGCGTTAAAATTTAACGCCAATAAATATCGAACTGGAATTATTTTTCTTGCGATTTTTATTTGCATCACACACACACTCACACACACACACACATTCGTACGTACATACACGCACGCAAACACATACACAAATAAATAAATACATACACACACATACATGCATACATTTAGACAAACACAAAACACGCCGACATACACTCATAAATCTGCATGCATTCATACTTGCATACACAAACACACACACGCACATACAAGAATACATGCAGACAAACTTACACATACATACAAACATACACTAAATACGAACATACAAACATACAAACAGACATACAGACAGACCGACAAACACATACATATAAGACGACAAAACGTTGATAAAGATTGACATGATGATTAATGGTATGAAGACAGACTAATGCACTAGGACAAACAAAACTTTTTAAATATGTTGCTCTAGATAGATGTGTGTATGCGTGCGTATGTGCGTGTATGTGTGTACATTCGTTTGCATGTGTGTGTGTGTGTGTGTGTGTGTGTGTGTGTGTGTGTGTGTGTGTGTGTGTGTGGTGTGAATTTGTGTGTAGATACGTTTTTATGAATATTTGTAATCGTGTGGATGCTGTGATAACAAAGATAATAAAATCGAACTATAATGATTAAACATATTGATGCTGCCAACGATTAAGATGATGATGGTAATGAGAAGAGATGACGATATGGTGAAGACGATGACGAAAGTGATAATGATACCATGATATAATAGCGATGATTTGATGGCGAAATCTATAGAAGTTACAATGGATGGATGGATTGGACTGAAGATAATGGATGAAGATAGTATCAAAAATCTCGATTATGATGATAATAGTGATGATGGTAATGTGGGTGATGATTGAAATGATGATGGTGATGATGAAGAAGAAGATGACGATGATGATGATGAGAGTGTGGTCATGATGATGCTGATGATGATATGAACACATAGCTCTACCGTTACAGACGTGCCTAAATAAGGGTGATGACGACATCACCATCATCATCATTATCGTCACTACCACCTTCAATATCGCTATCATCATCATCACTATCATCATCATAACTTACCCCCTCTCATCATATGCTGACCATCTAGGTACATCCCCGTCAAGTCAGGGTTGTACATACCCGGAGGGCCTGATGATGATGATGATGGTGATGATGATGGTGGTGATGATAGAGATGATGATGGTGATGATGATAATGATGATGATGAGAGTGATTATTATTATTATATTTTTTATTATTATTAATACTAGGTAGTAGTAGTAGTAGTAGTAGTAGTAGCAGTAGCAGCAGCAACAGTAGTAGTAGTAATAGAAGTAGTAATAGTAGTAGTTATATGATATTATTAGTAGTAGTAAAATAACCTGCTCGATTAGACTGATCAATCATTGGCTGAACGATTCTTCTTCTAGCGTTAATGAACCTTTTTGATTGGTTGGATAATTAACATAATTTATTCATAAAAAGTTGGAGTTTGATTGACGTTCATGAAAGAATAGATTTGATATGTACATATGATGAGAAAAATGTTCTGCTTAATTTTATTAGTTCATATAAGCAACTGGAGATATTTATAAACATAGAACTATGCTATGCATTTAAAATTTTAAAAACTGTGTTCGTTCATTCATTTGTTTGTTTGTTTGCATGTTGGTTCATTCTTTTGTTCTTTCATTTGTTCGTTCGTTTTTTCATCCAATCACTCATTCATTCATTCATTCGTTCGTTCGTTCGTTCGTTCATTCATTCATTCGTTCGTTCATTCATTCATTCATTCATTCATTCCTCCATCCATCCATCCGTCCATCAATAAACAGGCAATTAACACAGCTTGACGCCTTCGTGTTCTTAGATCAACAGCGTAATTCCTGTGCTATTGTTCCACGCACACGCACAAATACACGCACACACATGCAAAAACACACATTTCTAAACACACACACACACGTTTATATACACATACAAACATACAAAGATACTTATTAGAACACACACTCACAAAAATAAAGTTAAAGATACACACCT